GACCACTGCAATCTTTACTCGTTAAGTCGTGGTTGACAGCTTTTAGTTTGAAAACAATGTTAAGACTACAGTTGGAGCTATAAATCAACTCATAGAATTATTGCCTAAATTCACTATTATAAGTAGGCGTTTGAGGTCAGATTTCGAAATTGACCTCTGGCAGTTGACTTGTTAGTCGTTATCTTTCACACATATTCCCATAACTCTTACATCTTATTTTTACCGCTCACACAAGAAACTCCTTCAGTTACTCTCTAGCGCGAGTGGCTTTTGGGCCTTGTATCAGTAAATATTAATTAAAAAAGTACATACAGAAAAGAAAATTACCTCAAGTTCAAGCAAAGAAATGAAGACATTGGCAGATATATGTGTCACTCCGATACATTGCTCTTGAACTATAGATAAATTACAAATAGACTAAAAAAGCACACTACATGAACAACCACGTTTTAGGCGTTGTTGTTTAACAACAGTTGATCTATAAACAATAAGTCAAGAAAGCGGGAAGAAAGGACTAACTATCAATTGTAAGACAGAATGTACCGAATCTCTAGCGAGCAGGGCAGGCCAATATGCGAATTAGGAATTGCAGATATTAAAGTCAAGCTAGATCAGAATCTGCAATGTTACTGATCCTGACCCGGCATCTCAAGGTCAGTGACTTTCTCACCGACGTGAGTTTCTCCTTGATGAGCTCTCCCCACCCTGAATTTAAGCGTGCAACTAGATTGGCATCTAGGTCCCACCCTTGACATAGTTAAATGTAACCACCACTTCTACTCCAACAGTTTCTTTTCTTGCACTTCCCACCTGTGGAACTCTCTTCCGTTTACTTGCTTCGCTTATAACAACAATCTTCCAAAATTGAAATGAAATGATTTCTGTCTTTTTAAATCTTTTGTCTTTTCCTCAGTCCTCATTATTCTCAATTTTTACTTTCACTTTTACCCCCTATAACCCCCTGCGTACTAGTGGCATTCCCGTCTTGCTTGTGGTGAAAAGATTTTAAAAAAAAGTTTCGACACTTTAATATCTGGGAGGTGTCAAAGCAGGCGACAGAAAATCTGATCCTGAGAAAAAAAAGGTGCATTCCAAAAGTTAAGCAAAATATCAAGAAACGGGAAAATTTCGTTTGAAACAAAGAAAGGAATTCTGAAGTACTCCCATATGACAGTGAATGCCAATTGCCTCACAGATGACAAAAGAGATCTGAAGCAGCAGAGATGAAGAATGATGAAAATACCGCGAAGTGAACAGATCAGCAACAAAAAGGACACTTAGAATTGGAAAGCGACACTTGGAATTTCTACATAATAAGGAAGGAGGACTTAAAAAATTGAGCATTTTTTACGTTAATTTCTCCCTCCACACGGTACAAGAATCACTCGAAGTGAAGGGTTACAGAATAATAAAGGGTGTTTCATTAAGGCGGATCAAAGTCAGCAGAAAATAAATTAGTGTTATTGGTAAAAAAATTATTTATTTCTCTGTTGAACCATGGGAATTATGTGTGAAAAATAATATCGCCCAAATGTCCGCCAAGGCTTTGGCGGCACACCTCCACTCGATAGTCAAAATTTTTATGACATATCTGCATAGTTTCTATTCTATCTCACCAACATGCCTTATTATCTCATCCTTCAGCTGTTGAATTGTTGTTGGCTTGTTAGCATATACCTTACTTTTGAGATGACCCCAAAGGAAGAAATCTAAAGGCGTCAAGTCGCACGATCCTGGTGGCAAATTGACTTCGCTGTTTCGAGAGATGATGAGACCTGGGAAATTCACATTGCATTTCTGTTTGAACGTCCATTTTCGTTAACGTTAACACGTTGTTTTATTGTTAATCTTTCTATGGTTGAAATTGCCAAAGACTTAAGTTGTTAAAAAAGAAAAAAATCATTAGATGCTTAAAATTAATTCACATTTTAAAAGTCTATAAGTATCCTAGTGAGGATCGAAGTCATTAGTAATGGGCAACGTGACTACCCGTTAAATCATACTGAGGCATATTATATATATATATATATATATATATATTATAATAATATTTTTATTTCCAAATATTTTACATCGCAACACAAAAATTTCTAGGTTTCTGAAATAAATTTTTTTTCTCATAAGGCGATGTTGGATAACTTATGATGAAAATGATATTGTGTTTGTACTGGTGTTTTCTTTTCTGGACTCAAAAGTGTAAAAACAGTCCCCCAAAACTCTGCATATCCGAGCTCTTTCGGCTGTATTTTTAGCCAAGATCAGAGACGATTTTAAGTTTTTTTTTTTTAACTGAATGTGTAGATTTTTTTAATTTATATCTGAAGTTCATATATATATATATATATATATATATATATATATATATATATATATATATATATTAGATATTACATGTATATTAATTAATTAAAAGGACATAGCAAAACAGCACGAAGAATACCATGAATTGCTATTGTTCGTGCCAGGTTTCTGTGTCCTTTAAAAACTGTTATCTCTTTATCAAACTACATCTTATCTTTTCAAAGTATGCTGAGATTGGCCTGAAAGGATGTTCAGTCTCGCCACCATCTCCATTTGGTTTCTATCTTTGCAAACGTCAGTTTGACTCTGACTACATTAGTAGGATGGTTCAGTGGGGCGGGAATCAAGTGGCCAATAAAAAAGAGTAACAAATAAAAATTGGATCTTTTCGTATAACAATGGAAGCTGCCATTCTGCAAAGTTTCGTACCAGAGTGATCTCTTGCATCTGTAATGATATTTATCTCCGTATTTCAAATCCAGGCACGGTGGATAGCGGCTCGGTTTGAGGAATCGGAGACCCGAGTTCGAGTTCCAGTCGAATTCATTACATTCACTTACGTACGTGATTTCCTTGGGGAATTGTATGGTTCCTCAAACCGGGTTCTGTAGCCGGCAACTGGTCTACCGCAGAAAGAAATACTGCGGGAAAAAAATCTGCCTCGTCAGTCATGTATCGAAAAATACATGATCGCCTAAGCGTGTATCACGCATGGCATACTCGGCAGGCGAGACACCGTGGCCTCTTAGTGTCGGGTAAGCTAGAGTTTCTTGTCATATTTCACTACAGAGATATCCACAGTGATAGACACAAAATTCTCACTTTTCGTGTTGGTCATGGGAGTTGTGGTTAACGAGGTCTATGCTATGCCACTCACTTCCACCCAAAAGGTCTCCGGTTCAGTCAGTCAGTCAGTTATGTGCCATGCGTGATACACGCTTAGGCGATCACGTATCTTTCGATACATGACTGACGAGGCAGATTTTTTCACCGCAGTAGGTTGCCATTTCTTTCTGCAGTAAGCCAGTTGCCATCTCAAGGCTATAGAACCCAGTCTGTCCTGCTATTTGCCCATAGCTTGGGAGTGGGGTGGAAGAAGAGGATTCAAGGGTATGAATGTAAAGGATTCGACTGGAATTCGAACTCGGCTCTCCGATTCCTCAATCCGAGCCGCTATCCATTACTCCACCGTGTCTCCTTTAGCGGATAGTGTCATGAATACGGCGCATTTTTTTTTCATTTCCTTTATCTGTAAGATGTTATGTCATTTCTCTCGATATGTCTAAAAGACACACGAGGACGCTCAGATTTCGCGCATACCACATAACATTACGTAAACTTGTTTTCTATGGTTAGCTAAACATGTGTTCTGAAATAAAAAGGACGCACTCTGCATGTGTAATAAAGAAAATGTACAACAAAATGAATGAACTTGTATTTTTGCTTGAGTTCTGGAGCTATTTGTAAGCTAAACTCATTAGAAACATGATTTTATTTATTTATTTTTTTGCATTTTCACTACGTTAACCTAAATATGCAGGCATTATGAGCATATTGTGGTGAAATTTTATTTTTCGTTCTTTGTATGATTTATACCTTCTTTCACTGCTTTTTTTTTATTTCTCCTAACAATATCCTCTTGTTTCATTACTTTTTGTTTGTCATTTGAACTTGAAATGTTCTACCATTTTGTTTTCACTTTTATTTATCTTTTATTTATTTTTTCCTTTATTTTGGATGTTGTTTTTTTAGCACTAATTCTTTCTTTCTTTTACTGATTCCTGTGCTAAAAATCTTTCTTTTACTGATTCCCGTGCTAAAAATCTTTCTTTCTTTCTTTCTTTCTTTCTTTCCGAATTTGTTTTCTTTTTTTTACCAAATTCCTACGTTTCTCCCTCTTGCTCTTTGTTTTCTTCACATTTTTGCCCTTTTATTCGCTAGCCCTTTTTTCTTTCTTTTGTTTTATAGTTTTCTTTTCTATTTAGTCATGTATTTCGAGACAAGTTTTATTAATTCTACACCTTACGAACTTTCTTTCTTTTCCTTTATGACATCTTCCTAAACAAACTTTTCTTTTTTCTCAAAATTTCTATCATTTTTCTTTCCTTTTCGCACTTTATTTTCATCTTTTTTCTTGCATTTTTGCTTGTGTTTTGAAACCTCAACCTCTCATTTCCTCTCTTTTTTCTCTGTCCTTCGTTTTAATCGTTTGCTGTCTTCTCCACTTAATCTCTTCTTTTTTTAGTCAGTGACATTTCTTTCCTCGTTCGTCTGTTTCACATTCCTTTCTTTGTTCATTCCGATCTTGTCTGGAAATCATTTTCACCAAGTTACAATTACAGCGGAAATCAGCTCTCTTGACAATATAATCGAAATTGATTAAAGTTTTATCTGATCAAATGAAGCCAACCATTGAAAGAAAAAAACAACAAAGTAATTAGAAGTATTTCCAACCAGCAGATTTCAGATTAATTCTATATTACAGTCTAAGGAAGTCCACCTTCCATCGTGTCGACATTTCCATCTGTAATGTAATGTACAGGAACCATTTTCTACATGATCACAAGAGACTTAACATTTCAGTTCGCGATTTTCAAAGGTCTATTATTTCCGGCGTGAATAAACTTGTACCGTTACTGGACGGAATTCTCTTTTCGAATTATAAAGTTTTCGGCGACAAAAGACGAATGATTGGATGATTAAAAATGAGCGAGATAAAGATACATAAAGGAAGAAAGAAATAGAGATGGATAGATAAATAGATAGAATGAAAGAAAGATAAATTGATAGATGTAGGAAGAGAAATGAAAGAAAAAGAGGCACTGTTAGAGAAAGAGAAATAAAGAGAGAGACTGATATATATATATATATATATATATATATATATATATATATATATATATATATAGAGAGAGAGAGAGAGGGAGAGAGAGAGATTGATAGGGGTAGAAAGAGGATACAGAAAGAGGGGGAGTGATATGGAGAGAAAAAGATGAAGAAAGAAAGATTAATGTGTTAGTGACTATGGCAGAGAGAGATTGGTAGAAAAGAACAGAAAACGAAAGAGAAATTGATAGAAAAATAAATTTGTAGAAAGAAAGAGAAAAAGATAGAGATAGATAGATAGATAGATAGATAGATAGATATACAGAGAGAGAGAGAGAGAGATGTACAGTGAAAGAAAGATAGATTGATACAGGTAGAAAGAGAGAGGAGAGAATGACGTATTGAGAGAGAACATAAAGAGATTGATGAAGAGAAAGGAAAAGAAAGAAAAGAAAGAATTGATGAAGCGAGATGAAGGGTGAGGTTGAAGAAGAGAAATTGATAGGATGAGAAAGAGGGTAAAGAAAGAAGGGTAGTGATATGGAGAGAAAGGGATGAGGAGAGAAAGAGGAATGAATGTGACAGAAAGAGATAAGTTGAAAGGAGCAGAAAACGGAAAGAAGGGAGATAAATTGATAGAAAAATATAGAAATTGATAGAGAAAGAAAGAGAGAAAGAAAGATAAGATAATATTGATAGAGAAAAAAAGAGAAGAATAAAGAAAAAGAGAAAGAAAGAATGTAGTGATTGTGATAGAAAGAGAGTGAGAGATAGACTAATAGAGAGAGAAAGAGAGAAATAAAGAGTGGGTTTTCGTTTTTCTCTCTTTTGTTTTAAGATGTTTTATTGGTAAAGACAAAATCAGGCGTTTAGGAAGAAACATTTAGATAAAGCATTGTTCATTGTTATTAATTTTAATTAGCATCTCTTTCATCTTAATATTAGTTGCTTTTTATCACAGTTGCCAGATCGTCATTCTACTACCGCGATTGCTTTATTTTCAAACCACAATGCTTACTAATGAATTACATACAGAAGTTTTTGGAGGAATTATTATTAATGACAAAAACTGTTTAAATGATAATAAAAATAATATATATATATATATATATATATATATATATATATATATATATATATATATATAAAATATGAGGCTCAAACACTAATATTCCATGGTTATAATTTATTACATTGGAATCGTAATCACGATCAATTCATCAGACCTACAAATTCATAAAGAAATCGGAAAATATAACTCCGGGTATAAAAAAAAAAAAAAAAATCAGTGAGAGTGTAAAATAGGAATCGGAAATAAAGGGTGAGAGGAAATCATGATTTTGCTTTTGGTCATCTGTAGGTGTTTCCTATTCCTCTTTCTTCTGTTACACCTCTCTCTAGAGCTTTCATACATTTCTCCTTTTAGAATTTCTAGGTCCGATGAATTGGATCGTGATTATGATTTCAATGTAATAAATTATAATGATGGAAAATTAGTGTTTGAAAGAAAATATTATATTCTTGCTCTGTCCTGGACATTGAGCTCTACCTGGATTCTTCCTCTTGGAAATTTATACATACATACATACATACATCTGTGTGTATATATATATATATATATATATATATATATATATATATATATATATATATATATATAATAATAAAAAAGTTAATGGTCAGAATAGACTTAGAGACTTAATTAATTATAGCAGCATTATTAAAAAGTGCTTCATTCACATATAAAGAGATAAAAAATTTAACATGTAGAGCTTTTAAGAATAGAAAATTAAGAGTTCAGCCGATTCAGCTACCTTGGTTTCAACTTTTTGGTATCTTCAGGCGAATTTCGGTCAGTTACAGATTTTCTAGTGCAGATATTGACCCACTCTGTCATGTCGAATTTTATATTCACTGGCTGCTAATAGTCTGTAACCTGATAAAAGATGGCCAATTGTTTCTTGATACTTATCACAGAATCTGCATTTTGGCTCTACACAATTTTTCAGTATGTGTGGTTGGTCATTTCTAGTTAGCAAACATTGGTCATGTGCAGCAAGAATAATACCCTCGGTTTCATCTTTTAAGCCTGTACTACATAACCACTGACAGTTATGGTGTTTGTCTACATCAACTTGTTTGTATAAACCATGAAGAGCTTTGTATTGCCATCGTTTTTGCATTTAGTCCATTGTATTTTGTTTTGCTTTCTTTTTAGGTTCTTTGCCGCTGCAGTCGATGTATTATGATTTACTTGTATTTCGTCGCACACTTGAAATTCTCTTTTGAATTTGTTGGCTTCCTTTATTGCCGAATAAAGTTTCTTATTACTTTCATGTTCTTTAACATACATCATCTTCCAGTCTTCTATAGTTTCCAGGTGTTTTGGAAGACGGATTCTTGTGCTTTTGTAAGACAGTTCTAGTTGAACTAATCCTCTGCCTTCGGATATGGACGCATACAACTGATCAACATCATTCTTGTGATTGATGTATGCGGTGTCACGTGAGAAGCGTTCTTCTTTTAGAATCCAATTGCTTAATATCAACTGGCGTCCAACTAATGATGTTGAAACTGTATTGCACCACAGGGTCAGCCAACTCGGTATTTAACAACAGACGCACACGCTTGTAGATAATCTTTTCTTACTTTCTCCTTTATTTGGGTCTGTTGTATTGTGTCCCCTCCGCTGGCTGCTACGTATTTATAGGTTTCTTCTTGTTCCAGTTCCCTAATCTTTGTGACAAGATCTAGATCTATTGATTTCGTTTTTGTAATACTTCCTTTCTTGAATCTTACTTTTGTGGATTTATCTAATCCGACATTCATATTGATGATGTCATCGCTAAAACATCCATTCATATTGTGGATACCATTCAACTCATTGTCGTCTTTGGCAAAGAGTTTGACATCATTACTGTATAATAGGTGATTAAATACTTTCTTTTTCATTTTGTGTCCATATTTATTACTGTTTAGTCCATGGAAAAAGCGGAATAAGTACAGACAGAACATAAGGTGTGACAGGGAGTCTCCTTGAAAGATTCCTCGTCGGATATTCAGGTGTTTGGAAGTAGCAGTCGTTTTGGTAGGATTTTGGTATAATATGGTTTCCCACAGTTCCATGCTATATTTAAGGAAATTTACTATCACTAGGAGACTTTGTACATTTCCAAAGGCTTAAGAATCCAAGAGTGTGACACACTATCAAAGACTTTAGGGTAATCTATCAAAGCTGTACTGAGATTTTTTCCCACAATTTCCCAGGATTATTTTATTTATTAGTAGTTGATCTTTGCAACCATATGACCCTCTTCGATATCCCTTCTGTTTTCATCACGACATATATCACGATATATATATATATATATATATATATATACACACATATGGTGGACAGACATGTTACTAGCCTATAGTTGTGTTGTGAATTCCGAGATGAAATCCGGTCTCAAATGAATGACAAACGCAGGAATGAAATATAGCAAATAAATACATTGACGTAATAATACAATTGGTAATACGGTTAGTCGATCCAGGAATGCGGTTAGTAGCAATAATAATATATATACAGTCTGGGAAATTCAGTATCGAAGTATAACTTCCTTCTGAGTCTACGTGCTCGCAACTGTGACTCCTACAAAGCGGTTATCTCACAGTCTTACACACTCTCACTGTTCACTGTATCAGTGTATCTCTCTATCAGTGTATCTCCGTTCTAACTTCTGGGTATTCACCGGCATCAGTACAAGTACACACTGGTCGAGTGCACTTGTAGGAAAAACGGGTGTACCTCTTAACAAATTGTTTGGGTCATCTATTTCACCCGTTTTTGGTACGTGATATGTAATACCTTCAGTGATCCATTCTAGAATTTCATTTTGATTTTTAAGTTATTATTAAGAGTTTTATGAGTTGATGACAGATGATAGAGCCAAAAGGTGGGTAACTTGTCTTTCCATGAGATTTACATTTTGGGGAATTTTTTAGAGCTTGCCTAACATTATTCTTGGTTAAATTTTTGCCATTCTTGCATGGGTTTATCCTTCATTCGTTCTTCTTCTCGTTTGCTCCATTCTACATTGGGATTATATTTCTTTAGCTTGCTCCAAATATTCTCCCAAACGATTTGCACTTCTTCAATAGATGGTGGCTTTTTGACTTCTATAACTGCTTTTCCAATTTCTTTGTAAAATTCCTTCATGTCCTTTTGGAATATCTTGTTTTGTTGATAGAACCTACAACGCTTTTCATATCATCTTGGTTTTTGTGCCTTTAATTGCAGTTTCTGCTAAAGTATTATTATTATTATTTTATTTTCTTTGATTTCTGGCGTTTACACATTTCTTTCCGGGTCCCGCCCAGGGACCTAAGGTTAGAAATGGCGTCATGACACTTTCAAGGACAAAAAAAAAAAATAAAAAAAAAAAAAAAAATTATTACATAGATAAAGCCCTTCGTAAAGGTGTGGGCTGTACTTGTCAGAACAATTTTTTTGTATCTCCTTGAGGCATGGACTTCCAGGAATCCCTTCAATTAGTCTACTGCAATCTTTTCCAACCAGTCCTAGGGCTCCAACTACAACAGGGATTGTTGATGTTCCCATATGCCACATTTTCGAGATTTCTATTTCAAGGTCCTTGTATTTTGACAACTTTTTGAATATCTTCAAAGATACATTGCAGTCAGGCAGGGACTGCCATATCAATAAGGAGGCACCGTTTTTTGTTTATGGTCTTTAATAACAATATCTGGGCGGTTGGCCTTGATTGTTTTATGAAGTGTGTATTGTGTAGTCCCATAGAATTGTAACAGGTCCTATCTCCGTAACCGGGTCTGGGTGGTGTTCATACCAGTTTCTTTCAGTTTTCTTCCCGTAGAAGTTGCAGATTTTCCAGTGCAGATATTGGCCCACTCTGTCATGTCGGGTTTTATATTCAGTGGGTGCCAACACCGTACAACCTGCTTTCTTCTTGATTATTATTATTATTATCATTATTATTATTATTATTATTATTATTATCCTTTGGTTTCTGGTGTACGCACGTTTCTTTCCGGGTCCCTACCAGAGACATAAGATTAGAAATGGCATCATGATATTTTCCACAGAGCAGTTAAAAAATCGCACATATTTTCCATAGATAAAGCCCTCCGTAAGGTGTGGGCTGTACTTGTGAGTAGATAATATGAAACAAGAAATGAACACTCTAAAAATCAATATCCTAGCTGTATGTGAAACCAGATGGCCAAAACAACGGAGATTTTGTCAGCGACGAGCACAGGATTATTCATACTGGCGGAGAGAAAAACGACAAAGGAGTAGGATTAATATTAGATAAAACATTTAAGAAATGCGGTCTGGGATATTGCCAACTATCCGAAAGCATTCTGGTAGTCAAGCTGAAATGAAAGCTTTCAACATATCTATAATGATAGTGAACGCACCGACAGCGGAAAGTAATGAAGAAGGAATGGAAGATTTCTCTTCAAAGCTGGACAATGCCAAGGCTCATTGAAAATAACAGGAAGTCTTCATTATCATGGGAGACCTAAACGCCACAGTAGGCAGCTAGAGGACTGGGGATATAGCCGGAAGATTCGGGCTAGGTACCCGCAACGAACGTGAAGAAAAATGGATTCAATGGTGCACGGCCAATGATCATGCAATAGCCAACACATGGTTCCAAGAACATCCGAGACGATTATGGGCATGAAGGAGCCCAGTCGGAGACACTAAAAACCAAATAGACGACATAGCTATCAACAAAAGATTCAGGAATGCAATCGTTCACTGCAAAACCTACCTGCTGTGTCGACTGCGGGAGCGATCAGTGGAACTCACTAAGAGACGCATTAGTGACATCAGGAAACGAGATCATCCCAAAGGAGAATGGACAAAAAAGACAAAAACTAATGGATGACTGAGGAGATTCTCGACATGATTCAAAGGAGACAAAAAACTCTGCCAAGATACGGAGCGGAATACAGAAAATTACACAATGGAATAAGGACCAAAGGCAGATAGGTTAAAGAAGTGTGGCTAAACAAAAAATGTGCAGAAGTACAGAGATAGAGTACCATCAACAAAGGAGATATGCATAAACAAATAAATCAACTAACAGGACAGAAGACATACTCGTCAACAGGCTGCTTAAAATCAAGGGACGGAACACTTAGAATATTAGAGAAAGAAAAAATTCTTCAACGCTAGAGCGAGTATAGTGGTGAACTCTTCCACGATGATAGAGAAAAAACAGAAATACATAGAACTACCGACGGACCTGAAATTCTAAAAACCGAAGTAGAAGCTGCATTAGCTAAATTGAACAGAAACATGGCGGCGGGGCCAGACGGAATCGTAACGGAAATGCTGACAGCCTTAGATGAATTTGGCATAGACAAAATCACAGAAATAATAAATGAAATCTACAACAGTGGGGACGTACCGGAGGATCTCAGCAAATCTATTTTCATAGCACTACCTAAGAAACTAGGTGCAAACGAATGCGAGCTCCACCGAAAAATCAGCCCAATGAGCCACGTCACAAAACTCACCATCCGTATTCTGATGAATAGAGCACGCAGCAGACTCAGGCCAGAGATAGGACAAGAACAGTGCGGGTTCGTTAAAGACACCGGAACAAGGAACGCGATATTCATGCTTAGAATGTTATCAGAAAGAGCAATACAAATGCGGAAGGACGTGTACATACGTTTTATAGACTAAGCAAAGGCGTTCGACAAAGTACGCCACAAGGATCAGCTGGAACTGTTCAGCAACCTTGATATATTTGGGAAAGACATTAGAATAATCAAGAACCTCTACTGGCAGTAAACAGCATGCATGCGCACTGAGAATGAGTTCAGCGCATATACAAAAATATAAAGGGGCGTAAGACAAGGATGTGTCTTCTCACCGGATTTATTCATTCTAGACAGCGAAGCAATTCCGAGAGAATTGGAGACCCTAATGGGATTCCGTATCAGCAGCCACAATCTTACCAGCATAATGTACGCATATGACACAGTACTGATAACAGACACGGAAAAGAAACTACAAAACCTCCTACAAAAGGTAGCGAGGGAGAGCAAGAAGAAGGGACTAACGATAAACTACAAGAAGACAGAATGCATGGTCATTAGTAAAAGGATGAGCCCGAAATGCAATTTGTAGGTCGGAGACATTAAATCAAGCAGGTGCGGAAGTTTAAATATCTGGGAAATTTTTTGACGGAGGATGGGAGGTGCGATGCTGAGATCCGAAGACGGATTGAGATGGCCAAGGATGCATTCCAAAAGCTGGGCAGAAACAAGAGGATTTCTTTGGTGACAAAAGAAAAGAGTACTGAGCTGCTACGTGACATCTGTCCTCTAATACGGCAGTGAATATTGGACGGTCTCCTCAAAGATGAAGAAGAGACTGGAGACAGCGGAGATGTGGGTCTACAGAAGGATAGTAAGGATATCATGAAGCGAGCGTGTGAACAACGATGTGGTCTTGGATGCAAGCAAGATGCAAACAAGGAGGAAGCTTGTACTTTACATAAGGAAGATGCAGATGAGATTTCTTGGACACGTAATGAGAAAAGAGGGTCTGGAGAATCTGATACTCATAGGTCGAATAGAGGAAAAAAGCGACAAGAGAAAGCAACGCATACCATACCTGGCGGATTTAAGCAAGTGGATGGCAGAACGTGGTCTGCAGAAGTTGACAGAGGCTCGAAACTTATTGAGAGCTACAAGGGAATAGGGGGAAGTGAAAAGAGAGAAAGTAAAAAAAACAAAAAAACAAAAGAAAACAATGGTGACGAGGTGGGGGTAAAAAAAATGCAGTACTCGCCGGCAGGCCAGCTGTTTTTTTTTCTTCTTCGGTCACCTCATGGAAATAGATTGCGTGACTCTCTTTCACAGCCGTTACACTGGGCGGTTATGAAATAGACACCAAACTCAGCCGCGCCTACTTCGATTTCCTCTTTGTTCGTCTGTCAATTCGTACGTCCAACTCTATTGCACGCAGTCCGCCAAATGACTCCCGATTCACTCGTGCTCCTGGCACCCCGCTTTTTATGCTGTTCTAATACGGCCGAAATTTGCATGTGTGCAAATATCGTCTCGTTTTGGACGAGATCGGTGCGCATAAATTGTGTCTTCAGTAGCGGCCATATTTCTTTTTGCCATTACTTTGCAGGCAAGACACGTTCGCGCTCGTTTCGAATTCTGAGGGAAGTCATGACTTTCGTCACAGCTTACGTCCTGAAAGGACACGGCACATAAAAAGAAAAAGAAAAGGGTGCCAATTCCTCGTAACCTGATACGAGCTGCTCAATTGTTACTCGATATTTATCACAGAATCTGCATTTTGGACTAACACAGTCTTTCATTATTTGTTCTTAGTAATTATAGT